TTTCTGCGTAGGCGGCCTTCGGCCGCACTTATGGATTATAACCCTCAAAAAGTAGAATTCTCTTTCTGTGTTGCGAAGAAAAGGCGCTGAACACCTTTTGCACAGAACACCTTTCTGCGTAGGCGGCCTTCGGCCGCACTTATGCATTATAACACTCACAAAGTAGAATTCTCTTTCTGTGTTGCGAAGAAAAGGCACTGACACCCCTTTAATAATTGTTGTAGTTGTTGTTTCCCAAAAAAAAAAAAATACATCGTTACACTCACCTCAATGATCTCTATCGATCCCCATATGAATTTTTTTTAATTTGAGAATTGTACGTATTCTGCATTTATGCCTTTCTGGGTGATAAGGAACGCTCCTAATATGCGCCTTTGTAATTTGAGTTTATGACATTCGATACGATAGTAGAGTTCTAGTACTCGATTCAAAAAAAAAAAGATAATTTTAAAACTATCGAGTAAAAAATATCGGTATCGAATCCAAAAGTATCGATATGGTATCCGTATCGAAATTCGTGTTCCTAGGTAAGCGATATTAAAAGATAAATCTTTATAATAAAGTGGTAATAAATCAGGGAATATTTCAGAGATTGTGTTACTACAGTATTCAATGTATGTATATCGTATGTAACAAAAATGGTTTATTATTATTTCCTTACTGTAGCAAAAAATTATTAAGGTGGTCCATAATGCCTAATAGTCAGATGCCAACTCAAGTACGGTTCGAGAAACCCAAATTCTAATCTCGAATTATTTTGTTGCATGAACCACATTTCCATACACTTTCGAGTTTGGAACAAATTGTGCATAAATGTGCACCATAAATTGGCGACGTTTTTGTGAAGAGTGGCGTATCTGGATAAGACCACTCCTGATCGTTACGTATGGCATTTTTGCTATTATTGTAGTGCCATTGCTTATTGTCAATTCCGTAAAGGATGGCTTTACAAAAAAGGATCAATTTATTCTCATTGGGGGGACTTTTTGTCTTGTCTGCTGTTCCAGTCTCAATTTGGCATATCATTCAACATGTAATACACTTTACAAAACCAATTTTGCAGAAGCATATTATACGAATTCTATGGATGGTGCCAATTTATGCTCTTAATGCCGTAAGTTTTGAATTCATTTATATTTATCTTTTTTTTAATGTAGCCATTCTTGATTCCCCTAGTGGATTGGACTCTTTTTTCCAAAGCACTCTATTTATGTAGACTCTCTTCGGGAATGCTACGAAGCCTACGTGATATACAATTTTATGGTCTACCTATTACATTATCTTAACTTGGGAATGGACCTAGAAGCCACGATGGAATATAAGCCACAGGTGTACCATTTCTTTCCTCTTTGTTGCATGCGCCCTTGGCCCATGGGTCGCGAATTCATACATAACTGCAAGCACGGAATTCTTCAATACACGGTCGTCCGGCCTATAACCACTTTCATTTCTGTGTAAGTATATATGCAGGCCTGTTTGCTTAGCGAACAATTCATTTTAATTTGTTACGACACACAAAGGAGTACATATTTGCATAGTAAAACTGGTCAAAATTGATTTATATGTGTTTTCCTACCTAGTAGTTAAATAAATCATAAAGCTTAGTGATTTATAGGAGAAAAAAGACTACCTAGCAAAAACAGTCTCTAACGTTAAAGTGCCCATGATAACAGCATGCTAGCGCCATCAGTGTTGTTACCAGCCGATTGACCGTGTTGTTGTTGTTGTTGTAGCGGCTACTAAGCCCCGTTCGGGGCGGTTCATCCATCAACGTTGTTGTTGTTGTTGTTGTAGCGGCTACAACGTTGTCGTCAATTTCAGCTAGGGGGGAGGCCCAGGAAGTGTGCTACTTCCACAGGGGCTGTCCATAGGGACAGGGGCGTTAGCTGTGTATGTTCTTGTGGTGTGATTGTACCAGTTGCTGGTGCGATATCAAAAACGATTTGATATTTAGAACATGTGCAGTATAGCGGCCGTTGAGGAAAGAAAAAAAAGTGGTCGTGGTCCGCCCCTTTTTACCAGAGACATAACTGTTATAAGGAATATCAAAAAAAATTGGTCCATAACTATTAAATTAAATATAAATAAGATTTTGTTACTTTACATAATAGTTATTTTGAACCCAAAATAAGTGTTGCTCCCGTATAAGTGTTTTAATTAATTAATTAATTAATCCCAACGGCTTTTGTTGTTGTGTTATTCACAATATAATCGTTTTCCCGTCGCTCATAACTTTTATTTTCGTTTTTTTTTTGCTTTTACGTCGCTCAGGTCACAGGTCTATTCCGGTCACGCATTTTAAAGTAGTAGAAAAGGTACTAATTATTTATTACTTTTAATCCGTTTGTGCATACTATTTCAAATTAAATGTAGGAAAATGTATAGTTACAAGCTTATAATGCAGCGTTTTTGCTGCATTTAAAATGCAACATTTAGCACTTTCGAACATATGTTTTCGAAGAGCGTTCATGCTATCGCATTTAGCAAATGTACATTTACGCGAGTTCGAAATCGTATGCTTTT